AGAACAGCTAGTGCTGGTGTTGGTGCTGGTGCTGGTGCTGGTACAACTGCTGGTGATTGTAGAAGAAGGGTAGCTAGGGAAAAGAGAAATAACATTTCGGCAGCGGTGGTGGTGGCGGTTGTGGGGAGAAAGACGGCGGTGAGCTTGAGGAATGGAATGAACTGAAAGCGGAGATGATGAATCCCGTGGCTGATTCTTCCTTACTTTAACTGGTCACGGGAGCCAGAAAGAGCGAAAGGAAAGAAAGTGGAAGAAAGTCTCATTTAGTACCTCGGTGGTCTATTAATTTCCAGGTTTCCTTTACCCATCTGCAATCGTCTTGCGCCATCTACAAAAAGCTCCGGTCTTAACACCCCTTCTTGGCTGAGAGATAATTTGCCGAGAGTTAGTTTGCGGAGAGAGTGTTTTTTGTGAGAGAGACCAGAAGAAGCAAAATTTGACTAAGTGTTTTGGCCGGCAAATTGAAAGTTTTGAATATTTCACAGCAAATGAATCTTCCGCCAATTCACTATGATGTTGTTTTGTGCCTTTCCTTTTTTTTGGTATATCTCACATTTTCTCAAGTGTCATGATAGGTAATCTAAAGGTACATTATTATTTTTATATCAGATAAAATAAAAAAAATTAGAGTGTATATTATTGAGTTGATAACAAGTGTCATAATAGAAGTGCTATAATGACACAAACCAGCAAGTGTCTTTATAGACATGTCACGAAAAGCCATTTTTGTTGTAGTGAGTGATGTTATGTGATAAATTGCTTACAGTGGAAATATTGCTAGTGATTCATCGAAAAGTATATCTCAATTGTCCCTCGCCATCTAAGTCGAGAGTGTACTTTATCGCATTCAGCTTAGTTGAGTTTGAAGGTTGATAATTGACCAAGTGTTACTGTAAGTGTACATGACTATAAATCGTGTATGTACTTTACCGCAGCAGATGAACTAGTCCCCAAAACTCTTCGGTAGTTGACCTATTTGAGCCAGCGGCAGATTCGGTGGGATAAGTTGGTAACCCTGGGTAAATGTGTGGTATACTCAAATATTACCCTGTAATACAGTGACTATTGAAATGACTATTGATTGAAGGGAATTGTTTATTGTTTTAGAGGATATAAAGGGGTGATTTTGGCGGAGTGTGCGCGGTGATATCGAATTGACTTCCATAGTGAGCTCGTATCCTTTTATTATAATGTGCTCATATATTTTGGTTGGTAAATATTTGTTAATTTTACTATGGGAGCCAGTATCTTTTTATATTGAATGAGTCATTATATTGTAAATTATGCAGTGTTTTGGCCTAAATTGAAATGTTTATTAAATATGTTATATTGTTTATTGATTGTTTCTTTTAGGACCTTATTGGGCGTAAGATCAACCTTTTAGTTTGTTTTCCTTACAGGGGATGAAGGCAGAAGGAATAGAGATATGCGACATCCTGATCTTGAAGTTCTATTTGTATCTTTTGTAAACAATCTTGTATTTTGAGAAATAGTAGATAAACTCATACTCTAATCTTGTTGGGGTTATATATATGTGTGAAATGTCATGATTAATTGATGAAGTAAATGTTATTTTGGGAGTTCATTGTAATGAGTTCTGGCGAAAGTCAAGCAGACAGTTTGCTAAGCCCTATGGTTCGCTTTAGGGTCTAACCGGATCGTCACAATTTCTGTATATTCAGATTTAAAATTGATTTTTTAATGTAAATTAGATAAACATATTTAATGTGCAATCAACAAGATAGAGTTTATTGATATATCAATTAATATGTTTAAAAGATCACATATTCTTAGAGAAGCATAAGTTATTATGTATAACACTACTGACAAATTGATTAGTGTATACCATAATACATTAGTATGTATGTAATTAGACTTGTCAATGAGTCTGCGTCTTATCCAAATCTAATCTAGATCCAATATATTTGGATAGAGTCTAGATTTAATTTCTCAAATCCAAATCCTACCTAGACCCATGACTCTCTTACAAGATCCAGGTCTGGGTAGGGTTTGGTTTTTCATGATCCATACCCAATCCAGATATATATATATATATATATATATATATATATATATATGCATATTTATATAGAGACACACATACATACGAGTAAATTTATAAAATAATTTAATATTCTTTGGCCATTAACTCAAATACAGTATGACTTCATGATTGCTTTCTTTTTTGAAACTAATTCTAGTTGTTATTGTATTGGTACAAACACTTTTTAGGAAAAGGAGAAAAATTAAAAGCAAAAATTGGATGGTATTTATATTATTTTTGAACTCTATATATTTTAATATTTTTTTACATTAGTACATTTAGAAAAGTTGGGTTTTATGAGTATGTATTGGATATCCAAATTTATGAGTGTCTGGGTTTGGATTTACTTTTTCAAATCTATAAGAGTTTGGGTTTTGGTCTGAATCTAACTAAATTTGATAAGTCTGAATTTAGATCAAAGAAATCCAACTCAAACCCTAATTATTGATATGCCTATATGTAATCTATAATATATTATTTCGGCAATTCGGTTGGGAATTTGGGAATTCAATCTCTATAACAAGAAATTAGTACACATTAGTGTATACATTAATACATTAGTACGTATGTAATTTATATATACTAACTATTTTATTAAATTTTAAAGATTGAATATAAATTTGTTTATCGATATTCATATTACACTAGAGTTTTGCCCCTGCCTTAGCACGGTCTTTTATTTTTTTATTGTGAATTTATACAAATATGAATAATTTAAACATGAAAATTAACAACAATCCTATATGTCCATTCATATTACCTCTAAAAAATTAATATATTTTAAATATTCAATTATTTACTAATTTTTAAGAATTTGTTTACATACTTTCACTATAATATGATAGTACATATCAAATAATGTATTCCATATCAAAAACTTGGTAGATATTCTTTTTTTATAAATATTCTTTTATATAATTTAAAATTTTATGATGACCATAAACTAGAACTACATATTCACATTTAATTAAGTAGAAAGGATCTAACAATCCATTTTTTTTTTATCAATAGATATGTAGTTTCCAACAATATTAGTAATTCTGTCAGTGTAACAATTAATTTTTTACACTAAGTTAATTCAAAATTAAGAGAAGAGATGATGAACAATTTGAATATTAATCAACGATATGGTGATGAAAGGAAGTAATTTATGGAATATATAAGATTTTTAATAATTGTAATTTGAAAAAGACTTTGGTATAGTTCTATGTAATAATTTGATAGAAAGTAGATATCATTAAAATAATATTAGTTATTTTTTAAATGTATTTAAAATTAGTAAATAATTTTTAAACATATAATATAATATTCAATATGGGTAAAATCCAAATGATCCATAACCCGTTAATTCTATTCAATTAGATATGCTACATAGGAGTGAGAAACACTCTAATTAAAATAGTTACTTATATCTAAAATATATAAAAGGGGAAACACCCATTTGCTACAGTCCATCCATGGGCCGGTTTCGGTGGTAATTCTCATGAGTTCGTGGGGTATTTTGGTCTTTCCACCGTAAAATGCCCTCCTTCTATTGCTTCTGTTATTACAATCGCAGATTAGAAATCAGAAATCGGAAATTATATATTATAATTATAATGGCCAACAAAGATATTGCGCTTTAATGACCCTGTACCGTGCCTTTCTCATGTGTCCTGGCCCTGCAGTTTTCAGTGTTTCCATCTTCCCAACTTTCTGCTCCATCCATGCAATCCACATATATAAAAGTGGAATCTATTTACTCTATTGCCCTTGTCTAATGTTAAGTTGACTATTCCTCTTGTAATAGTTTATCTTTATAATATAACTTTAGTGTGCCTATTTAGGTCTTTGCCCTTTTGGTACATTTGTGCATGTGTGTATTTCACGTACCCTCCCCTCAACTGTCTAACTTTGTACAACAATCTGAATTGGTGATTCCTTGCACACCCTTTCATGTTACTCATTAATTATTGATAGTGATGGTCTATCAAGTAGTCATTTTAAGTTACTTATATTTGTCCTTTTTCACCCCACTATATACGTTTTCTCCACTATATATGTATTCTTTTTTTATTACCAATTATCCGGTAATTTTCCTATCCCACAGTTGTCATCATGCCCTTTGAATTTTTTTCTCTCAAGCTTTTTTGCTCCCGTTTATACATATTTACTTCCACGTGTTCTTTCTTGTACCGCTCTTGTTTGCACTTCGTTTCTTTTTCCTTCTCTGAAAGCCACCCACTCAGTAGCCGTCTCTGTGTTCCTTGCTGTTCATCTTCGTTTTTGCTCCTCCACTCGCCGTGACTTCCATCTTGGTGCTGTTCTTTTGTTCTTTACTATATGTTTATAGTTCCGCTAGATGTTTATCTTCATCATCTTACCCATGGTTCCAGCAATGAATATTCTATCTATTGCATATTTGTCTACGTGTTAGCCATTTACTTCTGCCTTTTGCATATCATCTTTTTTTTGCTTATAATTCTTTGTATTTTTTGCTCAGGTCATCAAACAACAACGTTTTGCTAACTGTTAAAAGTTAGTAAGAGAAACCAATTTCTTTCCATTACCTTTTGCTGATCACTCAAAGTTACGAAGCCGAACCAGTTCTCTGCGACGCTAACTGGTATAACATGACTCTTACCCATAACTCTTCCATGATACATTTGCTATTTCTGCCCAGTTCCGTTCTTAAGAATGATGCGAACGTCTTTTACTTATTATTTTTTTGCTATGCATATAATCGTTATCTAATGTATATAATGTTTTGGTAACTTACACGTGAAACGATATAATCATCCTTCTGTTTCATATTTTTTATTATCCAATTATAACAACTATTATTTTTATTCATTTTATCGCTTTCCTATAGTTTGTTTGTGACCATGCCGTGAAAACGAAAATATACTTCGTATGAAGAAATGTGTCTACGCAAGAATCATCGTCGTAGGGAAGCTAGGCGTCTATGCTTGACCCAATGGTTCACACTAAAAATCCAGCTAAACTTCGAAGCAACAATATTGTATCCTCGACTCCAGTATCACTACTTTCTGAGAATCAGCTGTCTGATGCTTCAGAAAACATAAGCCTATCGCTTCCTGTGCTATCCGAAGATGTCCTCAAAACATCTGACATACCTTTAGCAAGTAAGACACTTCGTTTAGTCGTCCATATATATTTCATCTAACAAAGCATTCAGTACACCAATTTTTTTAAAAAAATATATATTGATGTCTTGTCTAAGAATCTTTGTCCACCAATAATGCAGCCTGTTCATCTTCTAACAACCATGTCTGCTGTGATGTTATAAATGGACCGAGTAATGGAGGTATTTATACCTTTGTCAATGCTATAACTTCTCCCACTATTGAATATTTGTTTCGTGCAAATTTTCCTAAATACCTTCGTCCATCTTTTACTTTTTACATCCAGTTCAGCAACAAACAGTCTTTCCTAGCTCTCAAATGACCAGCAACATGCCAAAACAAAATGCTGGTACATATGAAAACTCTATCTATTGCCTACGATACACAATAAATGTATCTATATCTACGACATGTAATTGAACAGTCTCCCATTCTTAGGTCATCAGCAAAAGGTAAAAAAAAAACCAACGGATTGATAGGATTCCTACTCAACCATCTGTTTTACCTGTTGTCCAAAATTATGTTTTTTGTGGTGCTAAACGTTTCTACCTTGAGCCACCTGGTTTTTGTTGTGCTTCCGGTGAAATTCGATTAGTTGAGACAGAGATGCCAGCTCAGTTAGCAAAACTGTACACTGCTAATACTCCTGAAGCAATCGAATTTGGCCAATGTATTAGAAGCTATAATAATATGTTCGCATTCACGTCTCTGGGAGTTCATTCTGATAAAGAGTTGAATAAGAGAGACAGGGAATCTATGCATTCAGAGTACAGGGCCAAATGTACCATTTTCTCAATCCCCTGGTTCCAATGGACGACCACAAACCATCAAATGTACAGTTATACTATTTTGATACTGAGCATGAAATTGCGAATCGGATGGCCATTTCTAATAAATTTCGAGAAACTATTCTGGAACAGCTGCAGCAAATTCTGGATCACAATCCCTATGCTGTATTTTTTCGCAGTTTAAGAGGCTTTGAAGACATTTATAACCATAAAATTTTCTTAAACTCGCACCCTTCTCTAGACCAGCGTGTGTATAACACTCCAACAATCTCTCAAGTGGCTACCATATGGACAGAAAATGACCTTAATATAGGAGATTCTTCTCAGCATATACAGGTCTATCCAAGGAGTGGTAGACCACAAATCATTAAAGACTACTTTGGATATTATGACACGTTACAGTATCCCTTAATTTTTGCAAGAGGTGAGACTGGATGGCATGAAGGTATACAAAGAATTTTTAAAGATCAGCAGTCTGTACAAGATTCCTTGACATGTCAGGGCCATGATATCCATATAGGCCATTGTTCTTCTGCAGAGGAAATAATTTCAGCTGAGAATGCAGGTAATTAATAAAATATGATATGTCTTATGTATAGTCCTTACTACTATCTTTTTCTCATCCACATAGTCTATCATACCTTTTGACAACTTCATTGTCTTGCACCAGTTTTACAGAAAAGAAAGAAAAAAAGGAACACTGTCTGTCGTGAATACTATTGCTACAAGTTTCAAATGTGCCAAATTGACAAATCCTTGTTATTGCACTGTGGGAGACTCTTCCAGCAATTCTGTATCGATACATATGTGAAGATAGAATCAGCAAGGCTGGATTTTCATCGAAATAGGCAACGACAAATCAGAACAGATGTTTACCAAGGAATTTTAGACAGCATTGCAAATGGAGAAACCTCTGCATCAAACGTTAGTAAACGAATATATTTGCCTGCTTCTTTTATTGGAGGTCCTCGAGATATGAAACGAATATACATGGACGCTATGACCCTGGTTCAAAAGTATGGAAAACCTGACATATTCTTAACAATGACCTGTAATCCAGCTTGGCCTGAGATCAAGAAGCATCTATCTAATGGCGAAGAAGCACACAACAGACCTGATGTAACATTAAGAGTATTTCGCGCCAAACTAGAGATGCTCAGAAATGATATTATCAAAAAAGGGCTTTTTGGCAAAGTTGCAACATACACTTATGTTATAGAATTTCAGAAAAGAGGCCTTCCACATGCACATTTTTTGATAATCCTTGCAAATGGATGCAAATTGGACTCACCTGAAGCTTATGATCGAGTTATATCTGCAGAATTACCGGATCCAGCTTCTTTCCCTTACCTCCATTCTATTGTGGTTGCTCATATGTTGCATGGACCATGTGGAACAACTAATAAAAACAGCCCATGTATGAAACAAAATAGAAAATGCAGATTTGCCTATCCAAAGGAGTTTGCTGAATTCACAAGACATAATAAGGATTCATATCCTCTTTACATGCGCCGTCATAATGGAAACACTGTCACAGCTCATCACTTCCAGTTTGACAATCGTTGGGTTGTTTCCTACAATCCATACTTACTTGCCAAGTATGATTGTCACATCAATGTTGAAGTTTGTTCCACAATTGAAGCTGTTAAATATATTTACAAATATATCTACAAAGGACACTCAAAGATCCTGTATCAGCTTAATGAAGTAGAGAATGATGGAGCAATTGACGAAATAAAAAATTTCCAATCTGGACGTTGGATATGTGCACCTGAAGCAACATGGCGAGTATTTGCTTTCGACCTCAGTAACTTGAATCCATCTGTCATGGCACTGCAGATACATTTAGAAGGAGAACAGTCAATGGTTTTCAATGAAGATGATATTCTGGAGAGAGTTGCAGTGGATGAACGAATGTCACGAACTATGCTGACAGAATTTTTTTGGATGAATAGTGTAGATGCACGTGCACAGGCCCTAAAATGTCTTTATAAAGAATTTCCTCAGCATTTTGTATGGAATGCAACTCACAGAATATGGGAACCGAGACAAAGAAGAAGCACAATTGGAAGACTAACTACAGTGCATCCAACTCAAGGTGAAAAGTACTACTTACGGATGTTACTAAGGCATGTCAAAGGGCCTATGTCTTATGAAAGTCTAAAACACATTGGTTCACGAACAGCTTCAACTTTCAGAGAAGCTGCAGAAATTCTAGGCTTATTAAAGACTGATGATAGTGCAGAACAATGTTTACTTGAAGTTGTACATTCCAGATGCCTTATACTCTCCGTCACTTGTTCGTTCTCATTCTGGTCGATGTACTACCTCCTAATCCAATGTTGCTATGGCAGAAATTTGAACCATACCTGTCTAAAGATATTTCTAGAGACAAGTCTTTATCACCTGAGCAGACAAAACTAAAAGTTCTCCAGCTCATTGACTCTCACCTGCAATATATGGGCAAACATCTTGCTGATTTCAACATAGCTGTCCTTGACACTAATGCCTTTTCCATTCAAAGAGACACACAAGAAATAGAAGCCGAGCTCGACATCAAAGTTTCTGCTGAAGACATAGCATTAGTTGCTCTTCTCAATGATCATCAATGATCTGCTTACAATAAAATCATCAATAGCATTGACAATAACATAGCAGGAGCTTTTTTCATAGATGGGCCAGGAGGAACAGGCAAAACATTCTTATATAAGGTTACTGGCAACTGTGAGGTCTAAAGGCCAAATTGCATTAGCCACAGCATCATGTGGCGTTGCTGCTTCCATTCTTCCAGGAGGACGTACAGCTCACTCTCGATTTAAGATTCCAATTCATGAGGATAATGACAGTGGCTGTAATGTTAACAAACAAAGTAGCAGTGCAAGATTGATCAAGCAAGCCAAACTCATCATCTGGATAAAGCAACAATGGCCAAAAAATATGCTATTGAGTGCTTTGAGAAGCTACTGAGGGATATAATGGACTCAGATACAGTATTTGGTGGCAAGGTTATCGTATATTTGGTGGTGACTTCCGTCAGACATTACCTGTTGTTGTCAAAGGGTACAAAGAAGATTACATTTCTGCCAGCTTGGTAAAATCTTATGTTTGGAACCATCTTGAAAAACTCCGCCTGGTTGCAAACATGCGTGCATATTTAGATAAACCATTTTCAGATTTTCTTTTGAGTCTTGGTAATGGAACTTTGCCTTGCTTTGATGACTCCAGAATAACATTGCCACACTATCTTACAATACCTTTGTTGATGATCTGTGAGGACTCACAAAAAATTTATTATTTTAAAATCCATTTCGAGCTTATTTAAATATTTAATTACCCATTTATTCTGAATATTATTTTCTAACCTCTTTAGATTTAAATACATGGATTTATAGTTTCGTTATATTTTTTTAAAGTGACTCGTTTCAAAATTTAATTTTTGGAAGCTCGTTAATTGAAAATAGTGAATACGCGTTTGGAGTCAATAATCGATTCGAGAATACAATAAGCTTGGAAAATTAGAGATTTGCAGGATGGACTTAAAATAGGTATTTTATGTTTAAATACTCAAGTGATAGTTATTAGTACCATCGTTATAAGAATTTCTTGGAGATTGCACTTTATCACGCTTAAATTGGAAATACGCGTTTTCACACGCGCGATTTGATTGAGGGACTTTAGACCCTTATTTTGGGACAATTAAGAATAAATAATATTAATATGATTATGAGTGCATTAAAGGTTTAGTGCACTAGTGAAATGAACGCGAGAGGAATCGAGCACAAAACGTGCGCGTACGCGCACTATTGAAGAGTTGACTTTTCCACCAAATTGGGCCACACATTAAAGGTTCTTAGAAAGCTTTATTTGAACAAACACTCCCTCTCCTCACTCCAAGAACAGCCGGCCAAGGGAAAGAAAAGAACCAGCCTTGCTCCATCACTTTCTACTCCAAATTCTTGCACCAAATCAAACCAAAATTGAACTACACCTAGTTGAACACTTGGGATTATCTAGCTAAAAAGGGGGAGCTTTTCACGGTACATTTTGCAGCAAGGAAGGCCGAAAGTTCTGTCTTGTTCACCAACACAAGTAAGTGACGATCAACTCTCAAATTCTTGGCCTATGGAAGTTGATTTACACTTATGAGCTTAGATATTCATGTGGGTGGCTTGTTGTTGTTGGAAAATTTTGATTATGGGCTCTATAAACTCCCACTCTTGGGTTGATGGCTGATATGATGCTTGATGATGGATTTAATGTTGGTTTAGTGCTCAAATTGGTAGATTAATGGTGCATAACTAGTATAAAATTCAAGGAGTGCATGGATGTAAAGTTTCCAATTCTGCCACTGTTATGATCGTGCCTCTTTTTGTGGAATTTTGAGGTTTTAATGGCTTGTATATGATGTTTATATGTTGTCTAGATGGTGTATAAAGTTTCATCGAAAAATATTGAAGTTTGGTTGGTCAAATGGATTAATCTCGCAAAGCTAGCAAACTTAGAAAATTTTCCATAATGCTCAGACAGCCTTCTTGTTTCGTCCATAACTCTGTGCTCCGATGTCAAAATCAAGTGCCGCCAGTGGCATTTGAAACTAGACATTCCCAAATTTCCAATGGTATAAAATGTACCCCCCAATTCCACCAGAGTATTCCGTACCAACCATTTAAAGATGACTGTCTGTTTCTCTGTTTTTCTGGAACAAAGTTCAGAAGCTACAAATTGACGCTCGAATTTGAGCTAGTTGTGTGCTGAATCTCAGAACGATTTCTTCTGTGAAATTATAGTTTTATGAATTTATTTTCTAACGCTACCAACTATGCTCAATTCTGAGTTGAATTGAGTGATTTGTTATCAAAATACGGAACCTGCCCTGTTCTTGAAAATCTTAAATTTTAGGCAGAATTGATGCTAGACTTAGTGTGGACTTGTCAATTGAATTTCTTGGAGTTAAAACACTTAAAAAATGTACCATGAATGTTCTTTAGGCTTTTTCTACACAAATGAACTAGGATTTTCCTTGGCCAAATGTTTGGAAATGGAAAAACAAGAAGCTCAAGGCAGTTTTGCCTTAGGATTTTTCGAAACTTTGGTTGTTTGGTTGAATACCTTCCGAAGGTATTTTTCCTTGAAATTTGATAGAGGGATACCCTTTATATAGGAGTATTATATTGTCAAATTTGGTACCAATTTGAGTCCATTTCGCTGCTCGACTAATTACCAAAGTTCATGACTCGAGTTTGGAAAACCCTTGTTTCACAAGGGAATTTTGGTAACTTTGAGTTGCTATATCTTAGTGCTCAAAACTCCGTTTCTCGTTCGCTTGTTTTGTTGTAAACTTGGATTGCAACTCTAATAGAGTTCCAAATTTCAAAGTAGTTCCAATCAAGTGAATTTTGCCGAATTTTCAATTTGGCCAAAAACCAACTTAAATCTGCCTTATGAACCAAAACAGCGACTTTGTGAGGCCCCAGTTCGTTCTACGTTGAGATATTCATTATTTGGGCGGTAACGTTTGGTTTGGGAGTATTTCGAAAACCCTAAGTAGGGATTAAGATTTAAACCCTAAGTTCCGGTTAAGATTGAAAACCCGTTTTTTTCTACATTTTCTTTATTAGAAAATTCCCCAGATAATTTTTATTGAGTAAATAGAGTTTTTAGATGATTTTTCTAGTATTAGTTAGTTTTTGAGAAATTAAGAACGTATATCGGATATGGGACCCACTAGTGCGAAAAAGTTCGGAAAAATTCGGCCAATAAGGTTAAGTTTTGGATACTGTGTAAAATTTATCGGGTGTTAAGAGATAAGTAGTGTGTGTGAAGTGATTGATGTGAGAGAGAAAAGAAAGATAAGAAGGCATTAATGGAGGTGACAAGTGTCACTTTCCTATTGGTTGGACTTTAAGAATTACTATTTACTTTCTTGACTTTTTTGACCAAAGGATTAAATATCAAAAAAAATGCCCAAAATTCACCATTTTTCTCTTCCTTGTGGCGGCTCTCTCCTTGCAAAGAAGAAGGAAATTCCACCAACTTTCAAGCTTCCATAAGCTTCAATCTTCTATAAACAAAAGCTTGGACTAGATTTCACTCCATAAAATCCTATCTTCTAGTGCTAGTAAGGGTTGTAGTGAAGTTTGTTTGAAGAGCTAAGCGTCCAACACCTCTCTACATCTCTTGTTCTTAGGTAAGTGATGATTGAACCTCTACTACACCTAATGATGGTTATATTATGCTTAGAAGTGGCTTGAGTGTTGGAATATATGATTTATTTCTTGGTTTGGCTTGATTTGGTGAAGTTTTCCATTTTATGATGAATTTTCTGGTTTCATATGATCTTGATGGTGTGGTTGTTTTTGATGGTTTGTAATAAGGGGCTTTGACTCTAGTGGGTGTGAATTGTTGTTAAATGCAACCAATTTTGGAATTTGAATGAAATGTGCAAAGTTAGGGTTCATGAACCCCTATTCTGTCCGAAATTTGAGGTCATAGATAGAGGCCGAATTGGACTTTTCTCAAAACATGAAAGTTGTAGGTATTGATGAGTTTAGTGTGCCTACAAAATTTCAGGGAATTTGGAGTAGTATAGAGTGAGTTATGCCATTTTTACTGTTGCTGTTTTTGGTGCACAGAATGTCCGAACTGCGATAGTAATTTCCTGTTTTGACTGGAATTGGTTTGGATTTTGAAGTTGGTGTCTTCTGTGGAAATGTAGCTGGATGTCTTAGCTAACTCATGCCTTTGGAATTTCGGCATTTGGACTTGTATGGACTGAGTTATATCGATTACAGTTTTCTGCATTTTGCAAACCTGTTTTGGTGAATCTGGTTTAGTATTTGGCACATTTGACCTAGTTGTGCTAGGAACTGGATTGAGTGGCCTTCTCCAATATTGTAACCCTGTTTCTTAGCTTCGAAACGGTGGGTCTTACACCCCCATCCGATAACCGTAGTGAATTTGGTGCCATTACCGCATAGTAAGGTCAAATACGGTTTGTGATCCTGTTTTGCAATTCTGGTATAGTGTCTTGCATTTTTGACCTTGTTACTTTCAAAATTGGACAAAGTTTCCTTCTTCAACATTGTAGCCCCTTAAGTCCCGGATATCCCTGTAAATGTTCAGGTTAAACGGATTAGTATATCTTGAGCTATAAACGAAATACTCAGACCTGTTTTGACCGTCAAATTCTGTTACGTTTTTGGACAGTTTATGACTGGAACTTTGGCTTCACATTTGACTAGGTTACAAGCTGTTTGGGCTTGTGACCAAAACACCAAACTTATAGCCCTATATCAGAGCTTTCTAACGCCCTTGGAATTTCATGAATCGGATTTATAAAACCTGAGATATAGCCGAGCAAATAGGGCTGCCCGTGAAAATGACCATTTTCTGGTCAGATCTGTTTTGGTCCTGACGACCAACTTCCGTTCCGAATTTGGATTACCAACCTTCATGAAAGTTGTTCCATTTGGAATGAACTATCTAACTGCCAATTTTCAGCTCTTTTGACCATGTGTAGCATAGAAAACAGTTTGCACTCAAAACTGGCCATTTGTGCATTGGCCAGATTTCGTAAGTGATTGTGTTTGGTCATTTGGGACTGAAGCCTCCA